CTAGTTCCGCGCCGAGGAAGGGGCAGCGCCTGGGCGAGCGGTCCCGGCCTCGCTGCTGGCTGCAAGTCGCCCGGGGGAAGCCTCCCGGCTCCTTCTCAGCAGCTTCGCAGGCCCAGGGGGACTTGTCGCCTCGTGGGCCGTGGCCTTTGCCCTCCCCTCGGGGCTTCCCCAGAGCGGGCTGTGGGGCGAGAGAGCCCGCCTCAGCCGGCAAGGAAACAAGTGGCCTCTGAGCGAATCGGCGCCCCCAGTCCGGCTGCTCTCTGGCATTGCAGCCCTGGCTCTTTCCAGCCCCGTTATCTTCAGCTATTCGCCACAGTCAACAGTTGGAGGCTTCTCAGGCTCCGATTCTTTGAGCCATCTTGTTTCCTTCAGAAGGGAGATGGTGGCCTGCTGGGCTGCCTCGCGCTGCCGTTTGTTGTCTCGACCCAAGAACAAAACCGGAGTGTGCCGCGTCTGGCTCTTCCGGCCAGGCCTGAGGAAGAACAACTTGTGTTTGAAAGCTGGTCTGACTATCCCAGCTACATGGTCGGTCCCATAAAACATACCACCTTAAGAAATCCATGCAGCTGGTCTGGGTGATGCTTTTTTCTTTTTTTTGCTTGTCCCAGAGCTGCTCTCATGACTGCTGCTTGTCTGTTCTTTTGTAAATGTAAACTATCAGGAAATGAAAGGACTGAAACAGTTTGAGCTCGACACAATTCATTTCACAACCTAGTAAGAGGATCTGAACGACTTGAGCAGTTAAGAGTCGCATTTGATAGGTTTTTTAATCTCAGTCCTGCTCACTGAAAATAATGCCTATAAAATCTGAACGTGTATACACGCATAATTCATATTTCTCGATTCTGGGGTAGCCATCTTGTGGGTTTTTTTCGTTTTGTTTCTTAAAGATTGTCTTGAGTATAACTTTCTTGTTCCAACTCTCTTGTTTAAAGACGTTTCTTTCTTTGTAGGGGAGTCTTTATTGCATACGGGTACTTTGCAGTTGTGAAAAGTAGTGTCTATAAAACTAGATATCTAAATAGATGGTCGGTTATCTAACATAGCTGACTGTTGTGGCCTGTGTCTTCATATTGCACATTGACCTATAGTTTTAAATGGAGCAAAGCAAAGTTTAACAAAGCACTTACTTCATTAGAGACCTTCACTGAGATGCTGGAAGACATAAGTACCGATCCTGCAAATGCTTCTCAGTAAGACTAAGTATGAATCTGCATGCCTATAGGCTTATTTTCCAGACAGAAACAATATATGGATAAATATTTTTTCAATTGAAGCCTGTAGTGTTCATGCAAGTTGTTACCACTGGCAGGGCAATAGCCACCCTGGCATCTAAGAGTGAAATGTGCAGTCTGAGTTGTGTTCTTATCCATTCTAGGACCGATATAAAGAAGAGAGAATAGAAAATGCAGGTTTGTGCATCTGTGCTTCGTAGTTAAAGAGGATGTGAAGTGTCTGGTAGTAGTGAGTCATCTTTTGTTACCTTGAAGACTTGATAGGTTGCCTGTGATATTATGACAACTGAGAGAGGAAGTACATTCTGACTGAAATGGGAAGTGACTCTTTAGACTTGTTTTCTTTTAGTTACTTCAGCTCCCATGGTAACATTTTGGGGAAAAAGCTGTCCCTGTTAAAGACTAAGCACTTATCCTTAAATTAAGGGAAGAGAACAAGTAATCTATATCAGATTTCTAAAAGTTCTCCAGGGAAGATCAGAACTAAATCTCCTGGCATTTCTGAAGTTACAAAATATGGCGCACAATCTTCTAAAATTTGTTTTTAAGGGGCCAGAAGTGGCAACTTTTTGTTAATAAAAGGCTTGATTTTAAGTTTGTCTGAAGTAGTATTTCACTGTGTATTTGGTTGTATAAGATACTTTTTGTTATAAAGATGCTAATAAGTTTTAAATAACTCCCATCCTTCCGCAGAACTTTTTGCAAGTGTGGTATCGATTATGTATTGTATATGGTATAGCTAGAAAGAACCAGCCAAATCAAGCACATCTTGTTGTGGGTTCTTTTTTCTTCACCACCTCTTGTTTTGATACTTCATGACCTTCTGCTTAGTCCCTTAATATTTAATTATTGTTTTGGCCACACATGATAGTGCTTTTCCCTTCTTGACTGGTTCCTGTTCTTTTTGTTTAGGGTTTTAAAAGAACATCAGCACTAAGGCCAGCTAACTAGGGGGGAGGGGTGTAAGTTAAGACCTGCTGCTGCTACCCTGGCCAACTTTTGTGGTTTTACTAGTAGCATTTTCCTCTTCTTGCAGTTTTGTTTCCTCCTTTTTTTTTTTTTTTTTTTTTTTTTTTTTCATGAAAGATCTATAAAAAGGGAAACTGGTCATAGAAAAACAGTAAAATCCTCAATTTGTAAAGTGCTGACAAGTGCCTAAATAGAATCTCTCATTTTTTTCAGTATTTCCCAGATGTTAGTTCTAGCAGTTTTAGAACAGCCTATGACCAGTTTTGTATCCTTAAGAATCACTATCAGTTTGGTACTGAAATGGATGGTGCACTTTCATTAGCTTTTATGTTTGTATAGCAGTGGCTGGTAAACTTGACCTGCTTTACAGAGATGAACAACACAACTAATGTGTATTGGCCAAAGAATTCCCAAGTGCTCTTTTTGTTTGACATAATGCCACTAAAATGAAGTGAGCTTTGAAGTGGAATGTGGCACAGTGTCACAATGCTATATTCAAATGGGAGCAATTTAGTTCCAGTGTCGTTTTTGTAAGTGAAGTGTCCCTGGTTTCTAGGGCCAATATCCTAGTTTGAACGCACTGGGTTTGCTTGGATCGAAAAGTATCAGAATGTTGGCCTAGCATGTCCTTTGAAAGATGGTTGGCCCAACACTGTGATTGACAGTGCATCCACAATAACATGGGGAGGGCCCTGACTTTCCTTAATCTCTGTCACAGTCCTAATAGAAGTGACGTTGCTTTAACTTTGGACATCATGGAGCATACTCTTGATGTGATGTTTTCTCTTTACTGTTTGAATTAACCCAAAGTTTAATTTTATTTAGGCTGTTTTAGGGCATGGTGTGGTGAAGCTTGTGGGGCTTTTCCATATCGTGGCATTTGATCATGTTGGCTTTTTCTTTTTCTTTGCTCCAGTTTCTAGGCATGCTCGGCTCTCCTCGTTACCATGATGACAGTGTAGGCTAGCCTTAGGCTACTTCAAGATCTCTTGTCTTAATCTTTCCCAATTGCATCATCCATTGTTGCCTACTAACTTCAGTCTCCACTCAATGGAAACATTTTTTTTTTTCTCTTGTACTTTGGGAGTGGTAGCTTAAAGTCCCTTGTCCTGCTTTTCTCACTCCAGGGTTGCAAACATTGCAGCCCTAGATCCACAGATCATGCTTTCCCCCCCCCCCCCACATCACCACCTCAAAATAAGGAGGATCTTTAGGCAGGAAACCTTTCAGCCTACCCAAGGCTAAATTAGAGGTGCTGCTGCAGCAGCAGCTGAGGGGCAAGGAAGAAGGTGGAAATGTGGTCATGTCTACTTCATGAATACTAGTTGTGAAAGTGAACGGCCACTGAATTTACAAGCTTGTGTTTCATCAGTTTTTATGGTTCTTCCAGGGTTTAGTTACTGTGCACAGACATCCATGTTTTATGGATACACTTGTCACATTGATGCAAAACATGCTTATGTTGAACCCAGGTGTATTGTTTAGAAGCTTGCAGCTGTGACTGTTAACTTCATGCCACCTTGTTGGTTTGTTCTCTTGGTGGACAAAATCACTTCTCTTCACTCTTCCTTGAATTGCTTTATAAATGCCAGCACTTAAAAGATGTGCTTATATCCCAAAGTGCCCCTCCCCCAGTGGAAGGGGGACCACTAACCCATGGACTGCGTTAAGATGGTACTCTTCCAGAGTAAAAACACTCGATTTTTGCATGGCTTTAAATGAGAAATAAAACCTAGTTCTGTTTAGTTAACTGACTCAGTTTGCCCAGCCCTGCATATGAAAAACAAAGCTTATTTGAAGAATGCAGTGCACTGTGCTAGTTCTACTTATTCTGGAGTAGCAGCTAGTCATTTACTTAGTTAATTTCTGGTGCCCAGAACTGAGAAATATTGGTTTACTGGTCTGCTTCTAGTTAGTTTGTTGTTCAATCAGTGTTAGTTAGTAAAATTGGATCAGTTTTATAATACCAGGTGATAAGGCGTAATCTTTATATCTTTCTGGTCCCTCTCTGTGTAAGTTTTTCCATGAGAGTAAGATCATATTTTTTTGGCTGATTGTAATTCATACTTGAGCATGAAGAATTCCTGACTGCAAAATTGTGTCACATTTAAATCTTTATCCAAGATGATATTGACGTTTGGCAGGAAGTCATCCAAACTATGTTGTGCCATATCTAATAGCTGAAACGAGTTGCTTAAGTTACTTCAGTAACTCTTCCCCTTCCCCCCTGGGCTTCATTTTGCCAAATAGGAAAACCCCCAAAAAGTCAAGCACATCTAATTTGACCTTTACGTGCTTTGGTTTTAAAATACTCTGACAAGCACAATTATTGACTTCCCTTCTCCAGCGAAACTGCTAGCTTGGAAACAGATTCTGTGACATGCTATGAGTACACTCTTGTTAAACTGTTCACACCTGAATATTTTGGTACAAACTTCTGAAAGGGTGATAAGTGTCATTGAACTGTTATAAGTGATAAATATACCCCAAACCAGGGAGATCCTCCACTTAAAATGATTATGGTAATGATGATGGTTATGATGATAATGGAGGGTAGGAGCCTTGAGGAAGAGGAAAACTTCAGATCAGTTATTCCAGATGGAAGGACTCTTTAGGAGGAATGGAGTAGCAGACAGTGATAGACGAGCAGAGGCAAAGACGATGTAGGGGTG